GCGATAATTTCTTCAGACCTAAAAAGACTCTGAACCATCCTCTTAATGCTTATTTGTTGATGATAAAAGAACAAATCATGATCACCAAGAGAACATAACTGAAGAGAAAGTAGCTGGTCCAGGAGATGCCTTGGTGGCCCTCAAATGGTGCCATAAGATTTCCACCTCTACTCACTTGCAGACATCACTGAGCAGGGTGGGGAATCTACTGGTGCCAGGAGGACCCTGCTTGGCTCAGAAAGATACATTCAGACAGTCAAGCACGCAGGAAGGAGACACGGGAAGCCAAAGCAGCACAATAGGAGCTAGGTAGACAGCTCCCCTACATGGGGAGGGGAATGAAGGAAGATTGTTCTTGGCTATAGGATCCCTACCCAGGACCTGAAACAGAAGTACAAAGATAACAAGGAGATAACTACTCCTAGTATATTACACACAGCAGGGGAACAAGCTGCAGCCCTGGGCTTCCTGAAAGAGTTCATCCCCAGCGAACAAAACAGGCATTATGAAAGCAGCAGGGGAAGAGCAGGGCTCCTCTTTCTCTTTCAAACACTGCTCCTTAAAGAAAGGACAATAGTGAGTTGATAGATGCGACTAATTGTGGGGACTAATTGTAAGACTTCAAGGTGTGTGTGTGAGTGCATCCCTTAAGACTGAAAGGCAAGGAACTTGAGGGGCTCCAGCTAGCCTTAGAGCTCGCTGCCAGGCTTGTTTATCACCTAAGCAAACACTGTAATAAACTGCTTAGTTAGTCAGCGAGGTGTTGCCAACTAGCCACCCCTCCCCGCTCCTAACTGCGTGGAGGTATTGGAGTGACTGAGGACACTTGCAACAGGCAGAGACGCCCGTGATGTGAAAGCAGGGGTTACGGTCTTGGCTTATCTCCAGGTGGAGAAAAATTAAACCTGTTATTCAGGGCCCACTGCCATCTGGAAGGGACCTTTACCTGCCCAGGGCTGGGACACTCCGCTGACTGGGAAAGCTGAAGGGAGAGAGAAGGGGGCAATGGGAGGACGCAGAAGACAATCCTGAGGTGATGGCTCCGCGACTGTCAGAGGAGACACATGGCAGGGATCTCTGTGTAAATGAAGTAGGGGTCAGAGTGCTCCATCGCATTTTTGTCAGCCAGAACTCTACTGAAAAAAGGATCGACTCTCTGGGACTGGTTTCCAAATCACATGACACCACCTTGTGATCATTTCCTCCTTTCTTTATCAGTTTAGGACCTGGGGGCTGTTGCATGTAGTAGTCAAGAAAACTGAATACTCAGCAGGACCAACGGCTGATATTTATACTGGGAGGTGAGGGTGGCCAAGTCAGAGAGGGAAGATTTTCACATCTCCCCCTCTCCCACCAGGGCCATGTTTGAGCCTTCCCACTACCGGGGAGCTGCCGGCTTCTCTATCTTAACTCCTAGCTGCAGTGCCTGCTTGGTTCAGGTCAGAGGCAGGTTTGGAGAGGAAGTACAAAACCTTTAAGGGAGAGAGTGGACACCCAAGAAAAAGGTATCGGCAGCTGCCAGCCTCTCCTCCTTCACTCTATCTATAACCTTTCTGCATTAGCTAACGGACACACTTCCAGAATTCCTACCCAAAACAACTCAATCTCCCTTCTCCTCTAGCTGCCGAGATATGGCCTGTCCACCTGGCATCAGGGGTGTTTACTCAGTGGTTCAGCTTCTTACTGACTCACCAAGTCTTTTAGAATTCTTTTGAAACATTCTTTTAAAAAAAAAAAGATTTATTTTATTTATTTATGCATAAAAGAACTGAGGTCTAGGCGAGATGTGTGGGGGGTGAGAGGATTCACCAGAGACAGAGTGGCAAGCAGAACAGGTGGATCTATTGAAATACACTGCTGAGGGGAGCAACAGGTAAGACGGGAGAGGTCTTCTGCACCATGTGGTTCACCTCCCTGGCCAGGGATCGAACTCATGCCAATAAGCACTGGGATTGAAGTACAGCTAGGGTTTTGGAAGCATTAGAGGATAAGAATATCCTCTATACTAATTAAACTACAATTAAACTACACATGCTGTACTGGAAAAAAATTCCAAAACAGGAGGTCAGTCATAGGCATGAGCTGTCCTGACTCAACCTCAGTGATACACAGTCGGGAAGAAGCATCACCAAAGAGGTGAGTCAAGTAACAAGGTTCCAGGTGACCAGACACAGTGCACCTGTCCCCCATGGGAGCATGTTGAAGCTGGACGTGAACTTCAAGGGAGAAATCAGACTGTACTGTGAACATCTCAGGACCCCTTGGCTCCATTATTTTAATGTATTTCAGTTTATACAATTGCTCTGGATTATTTTCTTCCAGCATTGTATCTCTCTCTGCTAAGCTCATGAGTGCTGAACATGTGCCCTGGGCATTTTTCACAGAAACTGGAAGCCTTTCCTTTACTCATGCTGGCTTGTTTGATTAGAGCCACATCTAGAACTTTAAGGTTCTATTTTCCTTTCCTGAACAACTTGGTTTTTTTTTTTTTTTTTTTTTTTTTTTTATAGAGGCATGTTTTATTTATTTATTTATTTTACTTGTTTGTTTGTTTGTTTTTGTTTATACATGCACTGGGTACAGTCAGAAGCGTGGGAGGGTGAGAGAATTCACCAGAGCCAGAGTGGGGAGCAGAGCAGGCAGAAGGACTGAAGTACACTGCTGAGGGGAGCAGCGGGCGGCAGGAGAGGTCTGCGCACCATGTGGGATCCTCCTCCGGTGGCCGAGGAGCAGCCGGGGATCGAACCGGCGCCGCAGAGGCCGCGGGCAGCTTCGCAACCCAGCGCTCAACCGCTGCGCCACCGGGGAGGCCCTGAACAACTTGGTTTTATGTGTCAGAGAAGGTCACTCAGAAATCTAGAAAACCTTCTCACCTGGCCAGGAGTCCACATATTCACAACACTTGAAGTTTAACTTTTTTTTAAGTCAGGTTATTGACTTTAACAAAATTTATCATCTTAACCATTTTTAATGTACAGCTCAGTAGTAGTGTTTAAGTATTCACATTTTTGTGCAACAAATCTTAAGAACTCTTGTTGTCTTGCAAATCTGAAACTCTGTACCAATTAAACTACTCATTCTCCCCTGCTCCCAGCCCCTGACTATCACTATTGTACTTTCTATGAACTTGACCACTCTGACCACTCTAGGTAGAATCCTATGGCACTGGTCTTTTTCTCACTGGCTTATTTCACTTAGCATACTGTCCTCAGGGTTCATCCATGTGTCACAGATTTACTTGTTTAAGGCTGAATAATATTCCATTGTATTGAATAATATTCCATGGGCACATTGTGTGACCATTCTTCCAACAAGTACACTTGGAAGTTCCACCTTTTGGCTATTGCGAATTATGCTGCTATGAACGCGGGTGTACAGATATCTCTTCAAGACCCTGATTTATATAATTCATGTTTTTTAAAATTGGAATGAGCCTAGGAGATTCTATATCCTGCAATTTTGCAATATTTACCATTTGGGGAAAAAATCAGGAATGCAACACTGATTTCAACAGATAATGTCTTCATAACTTGGTGTGCTGACTTTTCAAGGGCTTGTGTAGTATGTGAGTGTTTTGAGAAGGTAGCAGCATTTCAGCTATATTTCAGTGATTGAGACACTCTGATCAAGGGTAGAATTGTCAATAACTCGTATTGGTAAAAGTCACCATCCCAAGTCCCCTCACCTGGGACTTGAAGTCCCACACCGCCTTTCCCCAGGCCAAGAAAGCCTGCGCGATCCTAGGGTGAAGCCCTGTGGTAAACTGCTCCCCCACCTAGTGCCCTTCTCACTGACAAAGACCTATAAATAACATCAGTGATCCTATTTCAAAGTCAAAAGAGGGGCAGGGCTTGCTAAAATAATTTCATGGACAAATTAAACAAAGAAATGATCTGTGAATGAATCTTAGAGAAGGGAAAACCAGCCAGCCATGTGGACATATAAGACTCCTTCCCTGCCAAAACTAGCCTCTCATTCATGCCCCACATTGTCTGCAGGCATGTATGAGCCATATCCTAGATCATTTGGCATTCAAATAGCTAAGTCGGCTGCACACTCAGCTCAGATGATTGGGGGGCTGAAGTGTTAGTGTTCTGCCCTCCTGCAAGGAGGAAAGGGAATCTTGCTCAGGAACCAAAGCAAGCATATTCATCTCATCTTTTAAGGCCACAAGACAGATTCCTCCACAGTCCCCCTGACAGCATTAAATGCACAGAAATCAAATGCACATCCATTACAGGAGAAATAGCAGGGATGTGGGGCTAAGGTGACAGATTCTGAAGAACAAACATATACCTTTGTGTTCTCTCTTCTTAAAATTCATCCTCTCACCTGCCAGCCTTGAGAATTGCCTATTTACATAACTAGCTGCCTAAAATGGAATATTAGATAATGTTACATGGCGGCTCACTCAATTTGAGCCCATCCCCAGGATGTGAGAGTGATCCAGAAGTCCTCTGACAGCATGTAGCGTGGCATGCTGGCCTGCAGCCATGCCTCCGCGTGGTGTGAGCCTGTCAGCTCTATGGAGCTAAGCAGATGTCAGGCCCGATCTCCGGGTGGGAGGCCAGCCGAGCAGCTGGGGGAAGGGGGCGTGATTCAGCAAGTGGCACAGTGGCATCCCAGCATCAGGGGACAAACAGCATCTCTTCCTGAGCTTCACAGCAGGCACCTTGTTCTGCCCAAGGTGCTGTCTCAGAGACGTGACATGTAGGGACTGAGAAGGGGGAGCTGCAGAATCTACAGGGACAACAGGAACAGGAGGTAATCAGTCAGCTCTGATGCCATCCCTGGCACCATGCCAGCCTCAAACCCCCTGTTGATCCTTTCCGAGGCATGAATCTCCCTCCCATCAAAACTGGAATCATGCTGCTCCCTTATAGGAGTCGTATAAATAAGTGATAAGGAAGTGTTCTGATAATGACAAGCGGGTATAGTTTCTCAGCCGACCAGATGTATGAAAGAAGGCAATTGTACATGTTTGTTCATTTATTTTTCAGTGTTCCTGTTCCTGTAGTCAGTTTAGAGAAAATTCCTAACCTAGTGAAGGCAGATGGTGCCAACGTCAAAATGAACTCTACAACCACTACTGCGGTCACCTCCTGTTCCACCTCGTCCTCTGCTGTCTCCACCCCACCTTTAATTAAGCCAGTCTTGATGTCCAAGTCAGTGCCACCTTCCCCAGAGAAGATCTTAAATGGCAAAGGAATTTTATCTGCCACAATAGACAAGAAACACCAAAATGGCACCAAAAACAACAACAAGCCTTACAGGAGACTTTCAGGTACGTATCTGTGTCCTTAAAGTCTGACTCACAATGAAATTGAGTCACAACGGTAACCAAGGGGTGATGTGTTCTTAGAATTAAGCAGATCTGTTTCATTTTAGGGGGGGTGTACAATTGCAAACAGGACCCCCACCTAAAAAGGGCAGCAACCATTGTTTGTCTTGTTCCTGGGTCAGAAGAGGTCCTGGGCTGAGTGCTTCTTGGGAGTTACCCTCATGCCCCAGGAGGCAGGGCACTCTGCTCCAGCCACACTAGTCCGTTCATCCCACGGGGCTTGTCACCATGCTTATAGGTGACCTGCTCCTGGGTTCTATAGAAGTGTCAGAGCCATGAAGTTGGACAATCTCCATGACATCTCAGAGCCGCTCAAGGCAGACTTGGGACTGTCCATCAGTAATTACTCCACAGGAAGAGGCAACCTCTGTCTGTTAACCTAGTTGGTCTCCAGGTTGATTGGTCTGGGGCCTACAGCTGCCTTTCCCACGTAATCAGGTTGGAATTCCCATCTGGTAGCACTTGGGCTGGCACAACAGATGGGGTATCTGGGGGCAGCCTCTCTTGGGTCTCTTTCTTGGTTGTCTGAGAAGTCCCTCAGCGTACCCAGTAAGGGGCACCTGGCTGCTCTTTGAGGCAGTGGTCACCCTGGAAGGAGCCCCCATGTGGATGATGTTTGCTTTGGGTTGTAGAACTAAGTATGGCAGTTCTCCTTTCTCCAGAAGATCAAAAAAAGCTATAAACGTTTTACCTTCTTCACACATGGTGGGCAGTTATCTAATGTTGACCAGAAAAAAAAGAAAGAAAATAGAGTGAAAGCCACCCTTTGAGAGAGCAACTATTCTGGTATGAGTGTATTTCTTAAGTAACCCAAGAATTGTGGGTAATTTTTTATTTTCTACTTCATGTTTTTCTGCATTTTGGTTATTCTATCCTACATCTGTAGCTTTTAAGGGATTATTTCAAGTACCTAAGACCCAAAACATTCAAATAACACAGGTATTGTACCCTGAAAATCTCTCTGTGTACTATCAAAAAAGAAAGATAGAGCCTGGCACACTCTTTGAATATCAGGGGGCCTCACTGTGTAGACAGGCACCCCCAACTCCTGACGGAATGACAAATTCAGTTGCCCTCTGCAGAAGTGAGTGGCATGGTCCCTGGAAACCAGTGGGTCTAGCTGGACACGGTGTCCAGAGGCTGTGGATTCCCTGTGGCAGAAGTGTGACCGGAGCTTCCAGCCCCACCCCAGTCTGAAGTCTTTGGGGGATTTTTGAGCTATTTGTTGTTACTGTACTTTGTTGGTTGTTTTGTCTCATGGCGTCTTTTGCTTGTTTTCGTTGCTTTCACATTTGGCAGTCAGCTCCCACCCCCAGCCAAACAACCTGCTCAGTTCCAGGCCAGCATGAATGCTGCTGTGGGTCTGGACACAGGTCTGACTCTCATAGACCCAAGGGAAAGAACTCCATGCCAGGAAGCCTGCAGCCTAGTGCCCGGGTGGGCAGACAGGACTTGTAAGAGATGGGCATCTCCAGGCATAGCAGTTTTCTATTCTGCAAGGTGAAGCTTAAAAAAAAAAAAAAGGACAACAGAAGCAAAAAAGCAGTGAAAGCAAAAAAGCAAAAAAGCGTTTTGATAGCCAACCAGGGTATCTGGTTTGGATATAAGAATGGTTTTATTGCACCAGCATCATTACCTCCGCTACAACCACCACCCCAAATCTTCTTTTAAGGATAGAACACGTTCATTTATTGTGCTCAGTTTACTCCCAACACATTTAGGCAGTTTTTCAGGTTAGGCAACCTCTTTTTAGTTTGCAGTTATTCAAGGCTCTTAAGGACACACCACGCAATTTATATACACCCCACACACTCACTGCTGCCGGTCACCTTGCTTGCCCAGATAGCTGTGTCATTCCTGCTGTGCAGGTCACAGGTGCCTTCCAGAAGCAACACATACCATCGGAGAGGTAGAATTTTAAAGCCTAGAGGATCCTTGCCCCCTCGTTTCCCAGGGAAGGAGAGCATTTCTGTAATTCAGAAAGGGGTAAAGTATCCAAATGGGCATAAAAAGAACAGGTTCCTTAGAAGTAATGTCAATACCTGTCATCAGTAGTCCAGTCAGAAGAGAGGAGCTGGGAAAGCCTGGCCTGCAACTGTCCTTCACCCCGATATGTCATTCCCACTTGGAGCACCAGGCCGCGTGCTGGGGACAGCGAGCCGTGAGAATGGCAAGCCATACCCCACCACCTTCAGGTTCACACCCACAGAAGGCACCTACCCCAGACTTGTCCCTGCCCTTACCTACGACCCTGCCAAAGTGTTCCTGAGTCAGGTAAATGTTTTTTCTGGTCAGCGAGACTATGTGGAAACCCTGTGCTAAGGACTTTGCATAGCCTGAGAGGCAGGTTATTGTGCCGTGTTGAGGAAGAATCTCCCACTTCCAAGACTAAAACCAGCAGGTAGTCAGGGCAGGAAAGTGGGTTGATGGATACTTGGAGCCACCCAGGAAAAAGCAACTTGGCCCCGCAGAGGGGCTCTCCAAAGTCTACAGCCAGCTCTGCCCAAAGTGCCAAGTCTCCAGGACCCAGCTCAAGTGAAGTCAAGTGTGAGAGCCCTCTCCTCTGCCTGCCCCCACCCTGTTCCCTGTGCCTTGTGCTGCAATTTGCATCCCTGCTGAAGCTGGACTTGGAGACTCTGGGTTCAGAGGGAGCGCCATTTCCCCCCAGGAGGGTTCCTGAAGCATTTTAGCAGCTGGTTAAAAAGGAAAAACAAAAAACAAAAAGACAGATTGCCTGACAATGTCTCACTTGTTGGTGCAAATGTGCATTTTTTAATGTAGTCTTAATGCCAAATCCTATTTAGTCTCCTTTTTTCTTATATTTTTTGTTTGTTTCTTAAACCAGAGAGAGAATTTGACCCAAATAAACACTGTGGAGTATTGGATCCCGAGACAAAGAAACCTTGCACAAGATCCCTCACCTGCAAGGTATTTCTCTTTCCATAAAAAATACTTCCTGCTCTCGCTGGGGCCTTTGTCGAAATGTTTGCATGCCACTCTCTGCACACGGCAGGGTGTGGAACCTCGACATGACCCCCAGCTGTTCTTTGTAAGGGAAATGCTTTCTTCTCTTCCATGGTAGCAGAGTGCCTGCCTCAAGCTGGCTGGCTTTTTAAGAAGGAAAAAAAAAAAAAAAAAAATAGGCTTCCCCTGTTACTTGTGAGGCCAGACAGTAAATTGTATTTATAGGCACTCACAGGCGGTTCTAAACCCTGCTACGTTTTAATGTATGCAGGAGCAGCAGCAGCGGCAGCAGCAGCGGCGGCGGCGCCCTGAAAGGCAGCCCTGGAGGGAGGACGCTCTGCCGCGCCCCTGATCCAGCCACACCGGGGTGGCCAGGGGGACACCTGACCCCAGGCGGCGCCCTTGGATATCCCGGAGCCCCATATGGCATACTGAACTGCTAGTGCTTCTTGGGCTCCCGGCGTGGCCCTCTGCTTGGTGGCTCTGTGTGTCGGGGCCAAATCGAGCCTCCTCCTTGCACCTGGATTAACTCTAGCACTCCCGCACGGTTGCCTTTCCTCAGAGAGCTTTTCGTGGGTTCTGCGCTGAAGCTGGTCATCTTATGCCATTTTTATGGAAGAAGCTTTGGCTTCTTAACATCAGGAGTCTAGGGCATGGTTGCGTTTGTGTGGTCTCTGCCTCTTCCCAGCCACAGAACAGGAGCTGTTGCCTTGAAGTTGACTTTTCAAGCACCTCTAAATTCTCATGAATTGCTCTTTCTGAAATGGAGGGCCTGGGGAAGCAGGTTTATGTGCTGATCAAAGAGGCTGTGCTTTTCATCTCTCTTCTCCTTAGACACACTCACTAAGCCATCGGAGGGCAGTCCCAGGCCGGAAAAAGCAATTTGACCTCCTTCTGGCGGAACACAAAGCCAAGTCCCGGGAAAAAGAAGTGAAAGATAAAGAGCATCTCTTGACTTCAACAAGGGAAGTGCTTCCAAACCCACCTGGGCCGGTGCAGGAGTCTCTGCCAGGATCTTCTGGGAGCTCTGGGCCAGAACCTAAAGTTGCCTCCCCTGCAAAATCCCGGCCGCCTAACTCTGTGCTTCCGAGGTAAGTCCCACCTTGGCAAGAGGAGCGCTGAGTCCTTGATCAGGTGACACTGCCTGGCTGGGTCGAGTGTGGCTGATCACGTGTTAAGTGGAAGTGGCAATAGTCCTACCTTGCCCTACGTTAGATTAGTTGCAGATTCCTAGAGCAGAGAGTGGGTAAGACCCGCGAGGATGGGAAGTCAGCACGCCTGAGAAACCCATTTGCCACAGTATTTTAGGAATTTTTCCACAGTACTCTTATGATCAGGATGAAGGGGAAATTGACATACAGAGGCCATTTGTCCTTATGATTCTCTCTACACCACGAGAGACGAGCCACCTGTGTGGGGTCTTATTTGCTGGTCCCAGGCAGAAAGGAAAGAACAGAAAACAGAACTGAAACCCATTTGAACGAGAGTGATTTAAAATCCCCTCACATTTGTTTTGATGGGCAGCAGAGTGCCTCACTGAGCGATAGACCCATTTCAAGGTAATAGGACAGGGCTCCCTTCTGCAGAAATGTTCCGTCAAGTGCTTGCTCTGTAAGCAGGGTGCTATGTTAGCTACTCCCGAACAGAATTACAGAGACGAAAGAAACTAAATCCTGCTTTTCAGGAATTTGGTGTTTAGAAGATATTATTCAAATATCCATGACTTTGTAAGAAGGGAACAATAATACAATATGAGAAATCCAGATAGTGGTATTACTGGTCATTTTTAATGCATTCATTGTGAGTCTTGAGGGGTAATTTCCAGCCAGTAAGTAGACATTAAAAGAACATAGTTATAGGCCTCCCCTGGTGGCTCAGCGGTTGAGCGCTGCGAGGCTGCCCGCAGCCTCTGCAGCACCCGTTCATTCCCCGGCTGCCGGCGAGGGTCCCACCAAAAAAAAAACAAAAAAAACCAAAAAAACCCCATAGTTATAAAAAAGGGGGAGAAGGGGCCTTCCTGGTGGCGCAATAGGTTAAGCACCGCACTATGAGGCAATCCTGCAGCCTCTGCAGCACAAGTTCTATCCCCGGCCGGCCAGGGAGCAACCCACATGGCGAAGCAGACCTCTCCTGTCTGGCCTGCTGCGCCTCTCAGCAGTATATTTCGTCAGTCAGCCTGTTCTGTTCCACTCTGTCTCTGGTGAATCCCCCTCTTAGCTCCCCCCCCCCCATCTCTGGCCTGTACCCCAGCTCTTAAATAAATAAATCTTTAAGAAAAGGTGGGGAGGAGCTGATTTTTAAAGGAAAAGCATATGTTTGATGACAGCTGTTGTGATCTACCAGATTCTCCCTTTAGACCTTATTTTGGTGCAAACCTGACCCAGTTAGCCAGCCAGCAACCCTTGGTAGGATGAGCAGCCTCAGCTTTCTGGGGAACAGAGTCAGATGGAATTCCTACCCAAACAATCCAGTATCACAACCATGGTTCTGTTGTCACCATTTACACACCACTTCCTTTGCTGTCCCTCATTTTGCAAGATCATTTTGTAATGACTTCTCATTGTAATGCCTGATGAAGACTATTAACCCAGCTTTAGAATTGAGGCGACAATTCTGTCCCAAACTTCTGGGAAGGACTTCAATTCTGTCTACAGTAAGTCCTCACTTAATGTTGTGGATAGGCTCTTCAAAACTGACTTTAAGTGAAATAGTATGTAACAAAAGGGGTCTTTGAATAACTTGCTTTGTTCAACACCTGCTGGAATTGGGTTTTGCCCATCAATGATATATAATGAAACAGCACCAATGTTATAATGAAATGCAATGATGTTATTCAAGGACCTTCTGTACAGTGGCTTTCAGACTTCTTTGTGGCATTTTCATCCCCACAAAGCCTTACATGGTACCCGGTATATAAGCAGACCTGGCTGCACCTGAAATTAGCTCAGTCCTTCTCTTGTCACATATGTACCCAATTTGAGAACTTGAAAACTATTCTACTTTGCTCCAGTGATTCTGACTAATGGAGGCACTTCTTACCCAAGCAGTGGTACCTGCCTTAACAGAGAAACTTTTATTTTATTAAAAAAATAAAAGAGTCAGTGGAGACTTCAGAGTTTCTCCTTTTCCATTCCTTTTGGGTTCAATTTTCAGGGAATGTTTGTCAATAGAAAAAATACGAGCTGTTTATATTCTTTTAGGAAGGCAGAAGAAATAGGGAGAGTTGGATTAATTAGCAAAAAGGAATGTGTCTGGAAAGGAAAGGGATTGGCAAAGGAACACATTACAAACGTTGGTAATAGAGGATGCTTTTGAGGATGCTTTTTTTTGAAGATTTATTTTCATTTATGCATACAGGAACTAGGGTTAGGGCAGAGGGGTGGGGGATGAGAGGATTCACCAGAAACAGAGTGGTTAGCAGCACAGGCGGATGTACTGAAATACACTGCTAAGGGGAGTAGTGGGTGAGATAGGAGAGGTCTGTTGTGCCATGTGGGTTAGCTCCCTGGCCAGGGATCAAACTGATGCTACAGTGGCTGGCAATAGTTTGATAGTGCTGAGACTTTAACCCCTGTGACACCAGAGAGGCATGAGGATGCTTCAAGTTTGATAGGGACACCCAAAAACTCAAGGTGATTCTGTTCCAAAGTTAGTGGGACATGAAAAAGCATGAGCAGAGTTTAGTGTGTCCTCATGTAAAACTTAAAACATTTATTTTACTCATTAACAATATATATGAGATATTTTAATCACACTAATTACCTATAATTGGGGAAATAGTCACACATGAATAGAATTATCACGATCCCTTCCAATTGTGAGTTCCTTTGTAGGAAATTCTAACCTGTGTGAATTTGTTTCTTACATAACTTTTTGGTAACCTTGAAAGTATTTCAGTTTTCATGTTCTTTAGCTGCAACCCATTCTTACCACATTCAGGAATGCCTAAAAAGGTCGTTGGGTCTAGAATCGGAAAAGTTAAAGTTTAATAATAAGGGTTTTAACAGGATTGGGAGTACAAGTCTCAACTCTATGCTTACTGATTAGACAAGCTTAGTCTTATTTCCTAGCCTCTGTAGCCTCAAATTGCCCATCTCTAAAATGGAGCTGCAAAGAATTAAGTGAGATAAAGGACCAAGTGCTAGTAGTCACTCAGTTGATATTAGCTGTTATTAAAAGGTAGTGGGGGCCTCCCCTGGTGGTGCAGTGGTTGAGTGCTGGGCTGCGAGGCTGCCCACAGCCTCTCAGCACAGGTTCGATCCCCGGCCACCGGCGAGGGTCCCACATGGCGTGACAGACCTCTCCTGCCGTGCCCATTGCTCCCCTCAGCAGTATATTTCGTCAGTCTGCCTGTTCTGTCCCCCGCTCTGGCTCTGGTGAGTTCTCTCACCTTCCCGTGCTTCTGACTGTACCCAGTGCTTGTATAAATAAATAAATAAATCTTTTAAAAAAAAATAAAAAAGGTAGTGTTATTCAGTAGGAAAGCAATGTGAGGTGTTGAAGGTCTCGGTGCTACCTGATTTCCATTTGTCCCCAGACCTTTATCCCCCAAACTGGGGGCCCTTACACAACATACCCATCTGTTTCTTTGCCCCCAACTCTAATATAGTCTAAGGAAACCTATTACTCACCAGGAGCCCAAGGGCTATGGATGACCACCAGCCCAGCCAAAGCCATCTAGACTGTTAGAAAGGGGGGACATGCAGAGGGTTGACCTGGTCTCTCACAAGTCAGGTTCTGGCCCATGGGGGAAGAGAGGACAGGTAGGCTGTGGCAGCCAGTGCAGAAAAAATCTGGGCACATTTCCCTATCTTGGAGATATCCACACATCTCATCTAAAGCTTAAAAAAATTAATAATTTTTTGAAGTATAAAATGGCAAAATCCAGTGACTGTAGACTGACAAGCGAAGTTGGGAAAAAAGCAGAAGATACTAGAAACATGAAAAGCAACTTCAATTCATGACTTGTTAGGATATAGTTAACTGCCAGACTGCAAGCCATTTCTCTCCTTGGCTTTTGTCTCTCTCTATGCTTCTTCTACATCCACTTCTCAATATGGATACTTCAAAGCAAAGGAGGGTTGCTTTGAAATCAAACAGGGTCAAGTCTCATTTCTACCTTTTATTAGCTTTGCAACCAATCCTCATCTCAAAAATGTCGATAATAGTGGCAATCACCTAAGGCAGCTGGTAACTTGGATAAAATGTACGTGACATGCCTAGCACATAGCAGAGACTCAGTTAAGGTCAGCTGCCTTCCGCCGTGTTCCCCAGAGCACTCAGACAGACGATGTTCGTGCATCCTCAGAGAGGCGGCATGGGAACTGAGTCCCATGTGTAGGACTGGACTGGCACATCATCACATCCAGTCAGGAGACCAGTGGTGGGTGAGAATGGAGAGGTGATGTAGAGTGAAGGGGAAAGAGTGGGTAACAGTTTTACAGTGACTTCTTCAACACTCTCTCGTGACAAGTTGCCCCATGTCCCTCCACTGCTTGCCAACCCTTGTGCTTTCTGAGAACACAGACTATATTCCAGCAGACTCCCTCCAGGTTCCACCCTCGAGTATAACAGTCAGAGCTGGAATGTCTTGAAAGCACCCACACACCTGCATCACCAGGAGGGTGCACACATCCTGAGTGAAAGCAGCCTACAAAGGAAAAGACCCTGCACTCCTGCTCTGTGTCTGCACGCTCGTGCGCACGCCACCAGCCTTTCATGTTCCTGTCTTTGCTGTCAGCCGATTCTGCTCTGGGGCACAGTCTCCATGCTCAGCTTTACTCTCCAGGATTCTCGCCCCTTTAATCTCCTCTCTTCCTTTTTTCACAACTGGAATTTCCTACTGAGTGTTTCAACCATTTTTCCCCATTAAACTCCATTTTTAAAATCAAAATAATATAGGTACATAGTTCAAAAATTAAATAGTACTAAAAGACTTAGAAAATAAAAACAGTAGTCCCAGCCATCCTGGAACTCTCTTTTCCCTGTCTGTACTAGAGCCCCTGTTTCCTGGATTCCATTGCCTTCCTGTCTCTTGGTTTGTGCCTTTATTTTGATAAAGTATTGCCTCAGTTGGCTTCCTATGGAAAGG